AAAAAGAATACAACTTGTGAACAACAAAAACGCAGAGGAAAAACTCTTGGAAGGAAAAAGGAATTTTATCAACGCGGTGTCTGAATTTGGGATTACGGTAGCGCACGTTTTGTGCGTCGAGGTTTTGCATCACGAAAATTGCGTCACTCGTGCTTTTTACGCGTTTCACCTCGCGAAATGAGTTGAATTGAATGTATATACCTCCAATGAGTAAACTGTAATAAAGGGGAGCAGAATTATCCATGGGCATTAGCAATGCCCGCCGCCCCAACTAAGAACAACTGAGTGGCCTCCGTCGGAGGACATCTAGCAAGTAAGGCGGTCCAACTGAGCAGGCGTTAGAACTAGAACTTACAGCGGCTGTAGCTCGCTTCTCGCTCGCTGTGCAGACGAATAGAGTGGGACAGTCTCTAGCTTGGGGGCTGTACTACTTGCACAAGGAAGGACGACCATGTACTACTCGAGCGCGGGGGCTGTCTTTAAACCAACTATTGTCGCTTAACCGCTTCTACAACTGGTGGAGAATGAGCTGGCGCCGCGAAAAACCCTGCCCCTTGACGCGCCTCAGCATCCGCAGCGATCGAGTATGTATGTTGCGATATACGTTGAATCTAGCAAATGCGCTTACATTTTCTCCCTCCGTTGATTTATCAGATAAAGTGATACGAGAGCAGCAAGTGCTAGCAGTCCTAAACCGACAAACGAGTAGAAGAGACGGTTGATCTGTGGTGCACTTCCAGAAGGGAGTATCATACAAGTCAGCACAACGTCGTTGTACGGATCGTTTCGAAGAAGAAGAAACGGCAGTACAAAAGCAATGATCGTCTGAAAATCAAGCCTTAAACACGCTATTCGCCATTCGTCGCAACACTACTCTGCTGCAATCATTATGCCAGAAATTACTAAGCCGAGGCACTCTCGAACTCGTTTCTGCTTTTGAGGGCAGCGGGGGTGCAGGGATTCTTGGCTTGCATCTGGTAGCTGCAAACGAGCGTTCTGTACAAATGTTCTGCCTGAGGATAGACCACATTTATTTGGCCTAGCTCCTTTCACTGATAGTCAGGTATGCGCTGTGTGATTTTATGGTTTTTGATACCAAAATTCGTGATTGTGATTGTGATTCCTGGGCAAGCAAGGGATCAAATAAACGGGGCACATCAGTTTTAAGTCGTCACGTACTAGCAACAAATGTTTTCAAGAGGCTCGCGGCCAGAGTAGGGACAGGGTGTCAGGGCACGCCGTACGCTCAGGATTCCTCAGAGGCAGGTGAGGGATTAAAAGTTCTATATAGGTTTTGATAGCATAGATAACTATATACCCTCTGGACTGGTCATCAGTGCCTCAGTTGCACTATAGGTAATCGTACGCCTGTTCCACTTTCCTCTTGACAGATACTGGGAAAAGAATACGTCATTGTTGCACGGAACCCATCAGTTGGTGAGCGGAGAGGGGGAGGGGATGGAAGGGAACGGCCTTGATGGAGCAATGGCTAGCGTACTCGCCCGGTTGGCGAGGGATGCGAGTTCGACTCCCGCTGGGTTTGGCTTTTGCCCGTAATTCAGCTTTCTCGAGATAGTAGCATTCCAGTGGATGCTACTGGCCTGAACTGATTTCTGAATATGGCTCAGAAAAGCTTGAACTTCCTTGAACAAATTCCTCAAACCCTCTGCCGCGCATTCGAGTTAGGATGTCATAAAACATTGAAAATCCTTCACAGATTAATCATTCGTATTAGAAGTGGGCCTCAGCATCCCTCTCACCTCCTCCATCCCCTCATGATGTCGGGCGAGCATACACCCCCCCTACCATGTGGCTGTATGAACTGACCGGGAGATTTGCTAACGCTCTCGGGAAGATCAGGAGGGCGTTTGGTCTTGAAAGAAATTGAAGGGGCGCGGAAGCGTTTATTTTTGTCACAAGAAGCGACTTGTGGGCAAAAGTCGGACCACGGACGAGATTTGAACCCGCATCTTCTGCTTACCGAGCAGTGCGTTCCCTATTACGCTACCGGGGCCACTCAATACTTGAAATGACAGTTTTTCAAGCTGTTATCAAACAATAACAGCAAAAAAAATGTCTTTTCTAATATTTCAACGCGGTTCCACACCCGCTCGCGCATCGAGTGGCAGCATTTTGGGGAAAATCTAGCAAGAGCGTAGGCAGGCTATGACAGGGACACCGCATCAGGGAATTTCGGAGTTGCACTAACACTGCCAACCTACCCAACGCCTCACCCGTAGCTAAGAAAATTTGCCTCCTTCTTTAGTCGCCATGGCGCATTCTGTATCAGAACGAACCCCAGTTCCTACCGATACCTACATTTCTCGTGATGGATCGATTGCTTTTTTGCTGAGATCGAACTAGTCCCGACCATTCTAAAACCCAACAACTGCAGGAACAAACGGCGAGGAACCAACTGCGGCACATTCACTAAAAACTCACCGTGATTGAGGAAAGAATAATGGCGAACACCCGGCAGAAACGATTATGTAATGCTGGATATCTGGGCAACGACCGATCAATCCACAAAATATTCTGGCAGAACACCATTCCAACTACACAGCTCAACACAAGATATGTCAGAATCATACAGTCTGACGTCTTTCTGGTCAGATCGCAAGCGTCCGTCATGACCGTGTCTCTGATCACTCACACAACGCTGTAAAAATCATATATTTTCGAAGTAACAAGATTGGCTATCAAACCCGGGCAATTAAAGAGCTTCTGTAAATAGGGAATCTCGTTAACAATATATGAAGGACTCAAATCTAAAGATGATGGCTTCCAGCGTTTTGGACAAAAAGTGAAGACGGCATTGCGCTGCTTGGATCGAATGAGCCCCATTTGTACAAATAGGTCCTTTTAGCCCTTCCCTCGCACTTCACGCAATGGCTATTAGCGCCCTACACAACGCGTATGTCCCGAATCGATCAAGTAATGGATGTATTCATCACAGTTGCTTGGCTTCCACATCGTGTGGAAATTCATCAACATGTAGAGCCTCTTTTTTTTGGTAAAGAACGCCTGTCTGTCGAACAAATGCCAGCGTTGCCAAGTGGCACATTACCACGCGCACGGGGCAGGGATGAAATCCTGATCGGCGCCGCCCCCCCCCCCGGCCAAGCACTCTACCGTCCAAGGTAACCGAGTTTGTCTAGAGATAAACACTGACTTGTACATCGGCTGGCCACCGCAAGTCATTGTATAGGCCACATCGCATTCAATAAGCCACTACGATTCTGAATGGAAGTAGAATGCGTGCCGCATCCCACAAAGGGATTGATCAACGGCGAAGACTTTATCCTTTGAGAACGCATGTCAGGGGTTTTCGCTGGAACTGCTCGGATTCTACCAGCTTACCTTCATCCCGATGATAACTATCGCATGCAGGTTTGCGAATGCAGTGAATAGCAGTAGAAGATATACAGTCGATGAATTAAAGAGTGTAGACTTCTTCAGCATCAGCACGAACTTTATCGAAAGTACCAAAGTGAGCATAGAGAGTACGATATGCAAGCACTGAGCAGCGATCCATAAAGGGGATTTGACAATATCCGCGGCTTCATCGATGCATTCCATCACATCTGGAAATGAAATAGTCTAAGAACGAAACAACGGAATAGGGAATCCAGTGAGAATCTGAACATCAGGATGATCAAAGAGAGTACTGAAAGGAACCGTAACATCAAAAAGGGACTGACAAGTTGAAGGCTCATATAAATCAACCAGGAATATAACAGAGAATCTTAAACTGCTCCGCAAGTCGATAAATCAGAAAAAAACAGGTAGTGCCACAGGGTGTACAGTTCGGAGTAGACTTTGTGAAGCAGTAAGATGTTCACGGTATCAAGGATATTCCAACCCTCCAAAAGCAGAACACAATGCGGATCTAACAGTAGGAGCTGAGCAATTCATGGAAATGTTGTAAGTTTCTCCTCCGACCGAAATTGACCCTTCCCTGTATCTTTTTCTTCAACACGACCTCCGCCTTTGATGAGGATTTCGCAAGAAGTATCCTCGTTTGGACTCCATCTAGAAGTGGAAGAAATTAAATGTCTTCCAGTCATTGAATGATAAAGATTTATTCATGGTTCTTGTGGTGAAAAACACCTGGACATACACCTGAAGACAGAGACAGGTTGCAAGCTCAGAAGTGGAGAACGGACGATGACAAAAAGTACGGTGGCCATTTCCAACGACGTCATGAACTCATACACAAACGAAATACAGCATAAGTCTGGACCTTTCTGAGGCGTGGGAGCACATCTGTTTGTACGAAGGAGCCTCAAATGGAAGTTGCAGCTTTCGAACACCTTCACGTGGAAGCCGGATGCATGGCGCAATACATAGGTGATACCAATTGACGCTGTATGAACTATTCCGCGATAACTGTGATGAAATGACGTGCTCTAAAGGCACACTCAAATTTTTTAAACGAACTTGAAACGATATTTAGTCGAAGGTGTGGGTTTTTCGACTACTACATATTCACAAAAACCACACAACAGGATATTTTAGTT